TTCTTTTCTTTTTTTTTTTTTTTGAAAATTTTATTTAAAATCCAATTAATTAACATATAGTGTATTACTAGTTTCAGAGGTAGAATTCAAGAGGTGTTGGATATAAAACCCAATGCTTATGACATCACGTGCCCTCCTTCATGCCCATCCCCCCAGTTACCCTGTTTCTCCAACCCCCTCCCCTCCAGCAACCCTCATTTTGTTTCCTATGATTAAGAGTCTCTTTTGCCCCACCCTTTTCATCCTGATCATTTATTCAATAGGCAGCAAAAAAAAAAGGACCACCTCTCCTTGGGAATAGTTGTATTTAGTAATCAAACTGCCTAACTTAGAAGAAAGGTGTGTAAAGTAGAATCAGATTATCAGTGCATTGTTGCAAATTTCAAATAATCTTGAAAATCAGACATAAGTCAACAGCAGTGAGACATTCTTGAGGAGGGGTTGAGAGTTCCCTCTGTCAGGAGGGGTCCTACTCTCCATGCTGTGTTCTCTTCCAACTTAGAGCTTTCAACAGGAATCACAGTTATGTTCCTTATGATCATTTATCTCAAATGCAATTAGTTCCTGCATTAGAAATGTACAGCCACCAGCAGCTTGGTGTCAGATGGTCTCATCAGATAATGAGCTCTTCCCTGTGAGCATCTGCAGGTGACCCATGTGGTCCAGCCAGCATCCATGATGTTTTTATATCATATGGCCCCTCAGAGGGGTGTCTTAAGTCTTCAGTAGTCCCAGGGTCTAAGTTTTCTGTTCAATGAGCCCATGTCTGATTTCCAAGATTGAAATTGTCTGTTACAGATGTTTCTCGGTTTCAGCCTACCATCAGGTCCAGGCAATCAGGATCTCTGAATTCAGGATTCTAAAAAAGCCAGTGACTTTCTTCTTTGGCAGCAGCAAAGATGAGAGACTACAGGGTCAGATAGTGGAGTTCCAAGTCCTTCTAATTCCTCTATATCTTGTCAATCTTAGAGTCCAAATTGACCTACTCAAAAATATGCACAATTGGGCTAGAAAATCATCAGCCTCTAAGAGTCAGACATCTGGTTTTACAGGAACTTATTATCAAACTAAGAACTGCTTTTGAAACCTCAAAAAGTGTATTTTCCTGTGAAGATTCTTTCTCCTTTTATTTTGTCTGACTTTTCTCATAGCAAAAATAATCAATTATGAGAATTTCAATACTCAGATGTTCAAAGATTTTAAGTTATAATCCATCCAAGCAAGAAGTCCTGTTCTACCAACACCTTTTATTGGTCAGCTTTTCCAGATTAGAATAATCCCTCTAACATTTATGAAATTACAAGCCTATAATATTTTACATCATTAAAAAAATCATATACCCAGAACCACTAACTAAAAAATAACAATCTATTTTAGAAACTCTCTCTCTTTCACTTTTTTTTTGCAAGTTTACTCAAACCTTAGCAATAAATTCAACACTTTCAGGATTAACATTACAACCACTTAGAGATCCCAGCTGTAATGCAACAGGCTGCTGTACCAGTGGGTAGAGTGTTATTTTACCCTCCTCCTTTTTTTTTTCTGATTTGTCTAAAGTTTGTGCCAGCCTTGGAACTGACTTAGTCTTGTTTCCTCCCACTTGGAGGAGTGAGCAATACAAACATACGACATTTTGCCTCACCCAAAATGTTCTTTTGGATGCATCTGACAAACACATCACCCAGGCTGTACTTTTTAATTCCTTCACCTTAGCTGCCATGTCCAAAAGCAGCCAATGGATCCAAGTCTCCTGGCGTTGGATGTATCATTTTAAAATTCCATAGGTAACCTTCACCCTCCAGAACAGACATCTCAGCTGCTGTTTCATACCACAGATGACTAGGTAGCTATTGGGAACTGAAAGTTCATAATTGTATCCTCTTCATATTTCCTTTCTCCAAACAGATATATTTCAATGAGTCAGGGTTGTTTTTAATAAATCCCACTTCTGACACCATCACCCCCAGTTAAGGATTTACTAGAAGAATCTACAGCATATAATTATACTTATGGGTAGGATTTACTACACCGAAAGGATGCAGAACAAAATCCAAAAAGGGGAAAGGCGTATTGGGTGAAGTCTGAAGAAAGCCAGGCACAAGCTTCCAAAAAGATTTTTGTTGTTGTTGTTTGTTTTTGCTTTTTCCCCCCATCAAAGTCTCAAGGGATGTGCTTAATTCCTCCAGTAATGAGTTTTGGCAACACTTGTGAAATGTCATTTACATGCTCATGAGAGACTTAGTGCCCCCCATTTTTTACTGGGTGCTATTTATGTGGGCACTGTGATATGGGCTAAATGTTGTGATTCTACGAAATTCATATGTTGGAGCCTAATCCCCAGTGTGATGGTTTGGAGATAGGGATTTGGGGAGGTAAATAGAGGAGAGGGTGGAACCCTCATGAATGGGATTAGTGCCTGTGATGGTTAATTTTACGGAGTGCCCAGATTAAACAGTACTTCTGGGTGTGTCTGGGAGGGTGCTTCTGGATGAAATTAACATTTGAAATGATAGACTGGATAAAGTAGATTGTCCTCTCCCTGTGGTGTGCCTCATCTGATCAGTTGGGGGTCTGAATAGAACAAAAGACAGAAGGAGGAATTAGCTCTTTTTTTCCTGCCTCACTACATAAACTGGGATATCTTATCTCATCTTCTTCTGCCCTTGGACTGGGATCTACACTGTTGGCTCTCCTGGTTATTAGGTCTTTAGTGTTGGACTGAATTACACCATTGTTTCTTCTGGGTCTCTAGTTTACAGATGGCAGATTGTGAAGTTTATTAGTCTCTAATTACATGAGCCAATTCCTCATAATGAATCTCCAAATTTATACATGCACATTTTCCAATATTTAAATTGCTTCTGTCTATAAGGCAGAGTTTAGAACTCCAAGAGATAGACGTCACTCAAAGAAGTTTAAAAAAAAATCGTTGGACACCTGGGTGGTTCAGTGGTTGAGCATATGCTGTAGGCTCAGGGCATGATCCCAGGGTCCAGGGATGGAGTCCCACATCCGGGTCCCCACAGGGAGCCTGCTTCTCCCTCTGTCTGTGTCTCTGCCTCTCTCTCTGTGTCTCTCATGAATAAGTAAATAAAATCTTTAAAAAATCAATTCTTTAAAAAATAAAATAAAATCATATTTCTTTTCTTCAAAGTACCTTTATGCAATGACATAACAGGTATGACCTGCTCGGGTTTTTCTATCCCTGATCATAGATTTACTTATTTTTGTTTCTGAAATTGGAAGAAAAGACATTTCTGTCTAACAAGAAATAGAAAAAAAAGTTTATCTATTGTTAAGTTTTGTGGACATACCTGGTCCTTCCTTCCCAAGGGAAGTCACCTTATTTCTTTCTTTAATAACAGAAACAATCAAGAGTGGTGGCATGTAGTTATAGCTTTTTCTTTCTCATCTGGGTCATTGAGAAGCAGGCTTTCTGCACTCTGTAATAAAAATGTTATAAAGTAACAAGCCCGCATCCCTCACTATTTAAAACAAGAAATAAAAACGTTGCAAGCTATTCTATGCTTTGGTTACTTTCCCTTAGTAACTTATAAATTGTGGTACTATGCTCTGGGGACACTGGTCACAATTATTAAGCCCGTCTTTTTGCAGCTCAAGGAAGAGTTTTCATGGAAAGTGGTCAGGAATGCCTGTCTAAAATGTAAGCTTTATCAAAGGTTTCTTGGAATACTGGTGCAATGTTGTTAAGAGTCCAGAATTCATTTTTCTACTCCTTGCTTCAGACTTGGCTGTGCTGCTTAGTAGTAATTTCACCTGGGGCAAGTGATGATCTATTTCAATCTCAGTGTCCTTATCTATACAATGTGATGCAAATCTCCCAGTCACAGTGTTGTCATAATGAAAATAGCATATGTAAAATATTTGACTTCGTAGCTGGCACAAAGTAGGGGCTTAATAAATTAATCCTGTTATCTCAAAAAAATGCCCACTAAAAAACAAGGACTATAATATTCGTAGAAGCTTTATTTATAATGGCCCCAACTGGAAACAGCCCAGGTGATGGCCCCAAATGATAATCAGTAATAGACTGAATTTTTTAAAATGTGGGATATTCGTACAGGGTAGTACTATAAAGCATGAACTACTGATAGCGCAAAAGTATGGATAAATCTCACCAGTCTGTTGAATGACACAAAATAATACATTCTGTATAATTCCACTGAAAGAAAGTTCAAAAACAGGCAAAATTAATCTACAGCGACAGCGGTCAGAAGTCATTACCTTTTGGATGGAGGATGGATTGAAGAAGGAAAAGGGGAGCCAGCTGGGGTCCTAAAAATGTTGTACGTCTTCACCTGCATGGTGGTGGTTATCTATGGGTATGTGTATGTAGAAATTCATCAAACTATACATTTAAGGTTTGTACATTATGCACATACCTGTACTATTTATACAGATATAAATAATACATCAATTAAAAAAAACCTGTTCCCTTAAACCCAGGAGCTGAATTTTTGTTTCAATATCAATTTTATTAATTAGGAGCATATCTACATTAGCTATAACATGCCAATAGCTGGCCATCTTGCCAGCTGTAGTCAGTCTGTCCCTTGTAAGTGGCCCCATTTCAGAGCTAGCCGGAAGCTGACAGGCATATTATAAGGGTCATGCTCCATCATCATTGACAGCTGGAGATGCCATCACATGCCACTGGCAGCGCAGCACAGGGAAAACCAGCCAGTGAACTGTGCTTCCCACCCTTAGGCGTGGAGGCACAAGCCCCAGTGATGGAAGGATTAAAAAGCCTCAATTTAAAAAGACAGGGGGAGGGGAGGGAATGTGGGCCGTATAATTTATAAATAGACATTCCCCGAGGCTGCCTGACGGTGAAGTGGTTGTTTAGTAAATCTTTCTCCCTTAAGAATCCCATTATCGGAGAGCATTTGAAAATACCAGTTTCATTTTGTCTTTTGGGGGAGATCCTGGGTTTCATCAAGTCAGCCCTGTTGGATGATATTTCTGTCTGTCGAATTTAGGGACAGGCCTTCGAATTTTGAATCACCTACACATGGAGCACAAAGATGATGATGATGATGATGATGTGTCGTTTGCGAAATGGATGAGCAGCTTCTGGGGTCACAGCTGGATGGAAGAGAATGAGCGAGGACTCCGGGGCCGTCGTGGATCACAAGATGCCAGTTACAGGAAAACCTCCCTGCCCTGCCCAGTGAGTTATGGTCAGAGAACCAGGGGAGAGCTGGACTAGGGGAGGGGGATTTCTAGTTGATAACTTTTGAAGAGGCCTTTGGTTTATACATCTTCTTTGGTTAAAAATCAGTTCTTCTAAACCTTTTTACACCCACCAAAAAATACCTTTTGTTATTTTATCTTGCCCTCCTGGGGACCTGATTTTCATTTATTAGGTAAAGATTTCTTCATTTTTAGTAGCCTAACATACCTTTAACTACTATTCAGAGCTCCTGAGAAACCTGAGACAATTGTTCTGAGGGTTAGTATGATTCAAGCCAAAGGAAAGAAACTTGATGTGATAGTCTGTGTAGCATCAGGTATGGATCAATGTGTGATTTCCAGGAGTGTTTTTGAAATACTGAACATAGTGTCCTGATTTGAGGACCTCTAAAGAGTTGAGGAGTCCACATAATAAATCACTACCTTTGATAAATTTGATAAACTTTTTCTTCTGGTTCCCCTTTGGTTTTCCGAGGGGTGATGGAACCAAAATTTTTCAGCCCTCAGCACTACTTTTCCATAGGGAGGAAGAGCATACAGTGTCTAGGGAGCAAGATGCAAGCAGGGGGAAGCTCCTGATAGTGGAGGGGGTGGGCTTGACCAGGTGAGGACTCAGCCACAGGTGTAGGCGGTGGTTCTCTGCTCATCTGTGCCACTAGAAGACTCCACAGCAGAGACATGTGTCCTCTGCTTCAGTTACACAGCAATAATACAGCTTTTCTTTTCCACAAGTCACTTAGGATTCTAGCCATAGAGAATACATCCCCAACCTTCTGCTTCTGTCAACCCCAGAACCAAATAAGTGTTAGGACAGTGTTTTTTATTTCAGTTTTAGCCTCAGAGTTCCCAGATGCATAATGCCTGTGAGGGATATTATGGTGGGTATGGCGATGGCTCTTATTCCCAAGTGATGAGCCAACTTGAGGGATGAGATCTCTTTAAGACACAAATATTTGAAAATAGATTTCTTACCAAATGCGTACCCAGAGACAGAGGGCAAGTGTCAACAGCTCTTTGAGCTCCAGGTTCCTTTTGTAAAAAAGAAGAGAGGCTGGACTGGATGACCTCTGGGAACTCTTCTAGCTCTAACCGTCCATGATTCTGTTGTAAGTGAACACCCGTTTATCGCACTCTCATTTTAATCTCTTATATTCCACTTCAAGTGAGGCATTCACAGTGTGCGAACCAGAAGTACAATTAGTTTCCAGTTTCCAGATAGAGAGGACCAGGGAGAAACAAAGAGAAAAAATGTGATTTTCTCTTTATCTCAACAGCCCTTTAGAACTGTTGAAATGAAAACAAAGGAAGGAACATGACTTATAAAATATAGGCTTGTTGAATAAATTTTAGCAGCTATTAGACTTTTAAAACTGAGATAATCCACCATTTTTAGAGAATCTACTTTTACTTGCAGGGTTGTTTGAATTAAACTATTGGGACTAGCAATAGTTAGTTGTGTTGTGTACGGCATTTCCAAACTGTGCCCACATATCTCTTCCTGCTCTTACTAGAGTCAGACATTTGCCTGAATGTTCAATTAGATTCCCTAAGTCAACAATGAATTCCACCATGATCAGACTAACATGCAGAAAGTATGTTTATTTAAGGAGACAAAGCATGGAATAAAAATGACCCCCCGACCGAAGAGAGTAGAGAGAGCACCAGCGCAGAACACAGAGCAGGGGACCCAGGGCGGTATGGGCAGGGTCCTGGGAAATAGTCAGGAGTCTGAATCTCTATCTGCAGTCACAGAATGCCATATATTTATGACAAGAGTATGAAGTTGGACACTTAACTTTTCTAACCCTGAAACGTGCTCAGATTTTTCTTATTTCAGAGAGAAGAGAACAATTAGGTTTTCATTTTTTATGTGTGTTTTGCTTTGAGCTCAATGACTAACTTAAAAAGAAAAGCTTGCTCTTAGCCTTGTCTCTTTCCTTCTCTTCCCACTACTCCCATCTGAGGCTCTTCCCTCCCACAACCTATTGATAACCTATATCCATCCATATTACATGGCATAGGAAGAGAAGAGTTTTCCCCTCCTTTCCCATTTGAATGTGGTTTCTAAAGTGGCTTTCAGGTCATGATTCCTGCAGAACCATAGAGGCGGAGCCTTGATTCATTGAACCTGTTTATTGAGGTTGGCATTACTTATGCAAGGCACTAGAGGCTTAGAGGGTACCAGAAGACGTACTGGATCTCAGTGTTTGTGGAACTTCCAGTTTAGCAGAAAATACAGATTTGGTATAAGGAACAAGGCTTGGTCCTGCTCAGAGAACACTACCTTTTGATAAAACTCAGTATAATAATCTGTGATCACTGATTTAAAGTAAATTTTAAAAATTTAACTTTACTGTCCTGATATTCTTGGTGGAAAAAGTGAAGTAATATGAAGTCTGTCTGTGAAGAACTAATGTGCCTTCTACCTCCAGCATCACATTAATACAAACTTGAGGTAAAACGGTTTCGTATTCCTTATTTATTCTGCTCATTGAAAGTGGATTTTTAATACTTTAGCCTATCCAGCTTTCTAGTCATCTTCTTTAGCTTACCATGCTTCTCTTAACATTGGTGGTCCGAGTGGAAGGGAGGATTATGCTAAATGAAAGGACTCTTCAAGGAGGAACTGAGTCCCCTGGCCTAGGGCTTTGCTAACTCCAGGTAGGCTTTCCCAGGGCTTCCTCTGTGTTCCAAGGTAGGCACAGGGTGTGCTTGCCTATATGGTATCATTTGAGGGGATATAATATGAGCCTCTCCCTGTCTGTGGGATTTTTTCTTTTTTTTTTTAAATAATCACCTTTAACCATTTTTTATATTCTCTCTTCATGTTCTTAACTTAAAGCAATAGAAGATATTTTAATTTTTATTCTTATCCCTGATTGACCTGAGTACGGCCACACACTCTCATCTCACCACAGGAGTGGTTCTCCTGCAGCTGCTCATGACACGGATAGGGCGGGACATGACCCCGTTGGAGGATTTCTTAGGAACCTGAAGTGAGGGGATACCCTAAAGTTCCATGACTAACAGTGATTTCTTGTTTTTTTGGGTTAAATGTACATTTCATTTCACTAGGGGACAATGCCTTCATCCCCAATAGAAAACTAGTGATAGTCTCAGGCAACAGTGACAACTCTGTGGAAGCACTTGTAGCATAATGTTTAACGGATTTGTTTTCTGTCTTCTAGATGTGGAGGAGTTGCTGGGAAGGCAGCCGAGTAGAGTGGCTAGGAAGGGTGAAGGGAGGGCTCCAGAGGTGGCTTTCCGGGGCCTACCCCCAGCAGCATAACTGAGTTACTTACCTCTCTCTGCCTCAGATTCCCCATACGTAAAGGGGATTGACACTAATAGTGTATACCTCAGAAGGGGATTGGCACTAATACTGGATATCTCAGAAGGGGATTGGCACTAAAAGTGCCAATGAAGATGCACTCATTGCTCCCTGAGGTGTCATATCTGGATTAAAGTGCCAACTCCTTTGGGGCCTTACCCTTCATCGTTCATTGGCACCACTTAGAAATGGGGGTGCTCCTGAATAAGGAGACCTACCAGAGGTTTACATTTGCACCTTAGCCTCAATAGTTAGAAACCCCAGAGAAGCCTCTAACTGGAGCTCATCTACAATTTCCTGACTCGCAGGAGAAAGGTGATTTTAACCTGGAATCAGAAGTAAGCTGTTAACTCTAAAATGTGCTTGCAAAATAGGTCGAGCAAGAGGGCATTGGGTCAATAAGTGTTACCAAGTTAAGTAGAAGAGACAGTACACTGCTTTTCTTTTTAGTCTTTGTTTTTCCTTTGCTTTATGTTTTGCTATTTCCTTGTGGCTTAGAATGCAAAATTGATTGTTAAAAAGTTTTGTTCTGAATAAATATTTATCTTTTGTATTGCTAAAGAAGAAAAAAACCCTCAGAAGGGTGGAGTGAAGATTCAGTGAGTAATTTATCTAATATAATTGGGACGTTGCCTGGTACCTAATAAGCATCTATGCTTCTTATTATTAAGTGTTGGAAGTGCTGAAACTTGGGAATTTCTTTCCAGATGATGCTTCAGTTAATTACTTTCGTTTTGCCTTTCCCTCTTTGTCTTTAATGTTTCTCCTTCTCATTTAATATCACCGTGAGAAGACAGGTCATCTTATATTCACGTTTGGCATATGGCCTATGTTGTTATGGACTGAATGTCTCCCCCGCTCCCACCAAATTCGTATGCTGAAGCCCTAACCCCCAAAGTGATGGTATTTGGAGATGACGCCTTTGGGAGGTATTCAGATGTAGATGAGGTAAGGCCCTATCAGATACAATTAGTACCCTCATAAGAACAGACACCCAGAGAGTTTGCTCCCTTTCTTCACCTGCATGCAGGGAGGAAAGGCCATGCAAGCACACAGAGGGAAGGTGGCCGTCTGCAAGTCAGCAGGAAGCCTCTCACTGGGGAGAAATCTCCAGCTCCTTGATCTCGGACTTCCCAGCCTCCACAACTGTGAGAGGTAAATTTCTATTGGTCAAACCAGCCAGCCTGTGGTGTTTTGTTCTGGCAGCTTGAGCTGAGATGTGTCAATACCCAAGCTGAGGATCACTGCACGGTAGAGGACTAGTGAAAATACTGTGCGAGACTGAATTCGATGTCATTTGGGATTACCTCAGTGGCATGTGGTTTAGATGCACTTAGTTTGGTTACTTCAGTTTCTGGATGAGCAAGACAAGTCCTTGAGTTGTTCCCTTGGAGAAGATTCCAAGTGTCTGAGGCGGGTGCCGTAAGCTCCAAGGAGTTCTTCCTACCACTCACCTCTGTTTATGGCTTACGGTAGGGTGTTTTTCTTTCTTTCTCTCTTTTTAAAGATTCCATTTATTTATTCATGAGACACAGGCAGAGGGAGAGGCAGGCTCCCCACAAGGAGCCCAACCCGGGACTCCATCTGGGGACCTCGGGGTCACGCCCTGGGCCGAAGGCGGCGCCAAACGGCTGAGCCCCCCCCCC